TTGATTACGTGATAAGCTTGATAATTTTTTTAAATAATGAATATTTATGATCATAGTGATAACAATAATAATAACGTGTTAAGTAATGTTTTATCCGTTAATAAGAAATGCAAATAGATAACAAATATGAGAAAATTTAGAAAAGAGATAAAAAAAAAGAAATAAAATAACTAAGGACAATTATGTAACTTACCTTGCCGAAATAAAAATGGTCTAAAGTGGCCAACATAAATTTGAATACAAATGGTCAACAATGTTTTATGATTTATTCTAACATATAGCATGTTCGTTACTCGACCAAACAAAGTGCACACATTTTGAATATTAAACCGAAGAAAAAGAAGTAGAAGCTTAGTCACTTCTCCTATGAACAGCAAGAGCCTGTAGAGGATGCTTCATGACGACAGTGAACTCTAGCTTCTCCGTCAAGTCAACTTCATGACCTTCGACTTCTTTCCATTGGAACTCCCTGACCATGTTGGCAACGAACCACTCGAGATGTAGCATGGCTAGCCCTATCCCGGGACATATCCTTCTTCCTGCTCCGAACGGCATCATCTTTATTCCTCTACTTCCAGTTATATCCACCACTTCTTCATCTCCTATGAATCTCTCCGGCTTAAACACGATAGGTTCCTCCCACACCCTTGGATCACGTCCTATTTCCGCCACCATGAAGTTGACTGTCCCATTCTTTGGTACCTTGTACCCTCCCAGTAAAGTGTCCTCTGTGACACTGTGCGGGAGCAAAAAATGTCCTGGAGGATGCCTTCGGAGACCCTCTAACACTACTGCCTTTAGATATGGCATCTTCTCAACATCTTCTTCCTCCACATCTTTTGCTTCTTCCCCGACTACGCTTTTGATCTCCTCGTGTAATTTCTCTTGTATTTCTGGATTTTTCACGAGGTTCGCCATGATCCATTGCAGCGCTGTGGCCGTTGTATCAGTCCCTGCAGTGAGAAACTCTGAACACAAGTTCATGATGTCTTCCTCGTTCAGCTTCCTCTTCTCATCAGGAAGCTCCAAATCAAGAAGAGTATCAACGTATGATTGTACATAGTCTTTGTTGTCTTCTTCTTCTTCCTTCGATCTCTTCTTCCTCTCTTCCACGATCTTTCTCCGGGTACGAATCAGCGGAAGCAAAATGTCCTGCTGCTGTCTCCGAATTTGTAGAAATTCTTGCCACCTGTTTCGCAAGATCAGTTTAGTGAACTTAGGCCATATGTTGAAGATGTTGAATCTGGTCAAGCTAAGGAGCTGTAGTCTCTGAATAAACTCCACTTGTTTGATTTGCTTCTCGTCGAGTTTATCTCCAAAACACATGAGAACAAGAAGAGCAAACATAGCATATTGAAGATGGTCAACGAGGACGATCGGTTCTTGACCTCTGTATTTACGAAATCTATCAAAGAGGATCCCAAGAACCCAGTGTCGCGCGTGAGAATAAGATCTCACGCGCGAGGGATGAAGGATCTCAGTGGAGATATTTCGTCGAAGAAGCCGCCACGTGGCTCCATATGACCCGGAGCTGATGTTGTGTTTGTCGACAATCTTGCTGATTGTAGCCGGTGGTGGACGGTCTGCATAGACGGCGCTGTTCAGTACTAGAGCCTCATGAGCGAGGGAACGGTCGGCAACGAATATGGCAGGGAGGGAAGTGATACGGAGAGTCACGATAGGGCCTAGACGGTGGTGAACGGAACGGAGATAGGATTCGAGGCCACCTAAGCCTTCCCTGAGCCAGTGAAGGGTTCCAAGGAAAGGTAAGACATTAGGGTCAGGAGGTAGAGGAGGAGAGGAGGAGTTAAGGCTGCGAATGAGGAGATGGAGAAGGAGAGACACGAAGAGAGAGGCCAAGATGAGTAACCATGTCTCCATTTTTTTATTATGTGTTTTTTTCACTTTATTTTTTATTCCTACATATATAGACGTAACATGTATGGCCAGATTCTTTTAAACCGTGCCATTCAAGTATAATAATCTTATTTTATTTTGCTGTATTTATTTTTATAATTGTAGTCAAATATTTGGATTATAATAAATTTGGAAAAATCAGATGGAAAGTTTTGTGCGGTGTTTGTTGCAGCTCACGGGTAAGGAGATAGTTGTAGAGACTAAGGATAGAGATGGTTTTGTTTTGTCTATCTCTGGTAGAGAAAAACCAAAATTGCTTGTTTTAGCTCTGCATTACTAAATTTTTGTGACATCATCCGTTGCGTATGTTACTAATTAAGTTTTGTGAATAATCTTCTTTATTATTGATTTCTGATAAGTTTAAGATCTATCCTAGGGAAACTGAAGACTTTGGCTTAGAGTTGAACAAATGTTTTCGAGGACAAGATTCTTACACCAACAATATATTTAGTTTAATAGGTAAATCTTATTTTCTCATTTGGTTGGAGGTGTTCTTAACATTTAGATTTAGAGCATCTATGTTAATTAAGAATCTTCAAAATGAGTTTAAAGATCTTTGGTAAAAACTTAGACGTCACTAGTTCGAATTGCGCTTGATACAAGACCATAGAATATGTTCTGATTTCGGGACAGAGAAAATGTATGGGCTTAGACTTAGAAACTCTTAACTATTCCGGAAAAAGTTAATAATATTATAATAAAAAGAAAAGACATAACATAAGTGAGTCTCTCTCAAAAACATAAAGAGTACGTATGCAATTTGCAACTCCATTATATTTTTTTGCCTAAAGATGTAGTCACAGACCAATGATTCTTTTCCAAATATAATTGTGGAAACTTGGGTTTTGAACATTTGCTAAAAACTAAAAAGACGTCTATCAATTGATTGTAATCCATTTTGGTGGTTTGCCACTAATTTTTCCAAAATTTAAAAAATTTGGTATATTGTCAATTTATTGTGGTTAAAATATCTTCTTAATATTTAAGAGGATATATATGAACATAAATGTAGAAGAAAGAACTGTATGTAGAAGTTTTTATTTATCTTTCAGATTATTAGGGAGTATGATATGATATGATTGGTTTCCTTCAATTTAACTTGGCTTTTGATTAAATAAAAGAGAAGAGAACAATTCGATTCTATAACATTTGCCGAACTAAACTATGTATTACGCTCATGTAATCTTAGCTAAAACATGTTTATGTTTTGTTTTTTTCGTTTTGATGATTTAGATCCGGAGATCGGTTGTCAACGAAGAAGATGAATATGGTTTCAAGAAGCCGAAACATCCAATGTACCATGATGAAGGGTTAAAGAAAACAAAAGAGACAATGAATGAGAAAATCAATTAAGAGCTTTATTCGACAATTAACAATGTGTTTTCGCGCTTAATAACAATTCTTTTCCCAATATTACCTGTCCAAACTCTCTATGATTGGAGAGAGTTCGAAGAAGGTGGAAAAATTTGGCTGTAAAGGCAGTATACATAGGGGGTTTAAAGTTCTGGTCGGAAAATAAACGAGTTCATCGAGAGTTTAGGGAAGAAACGTTGATTCAACTCTATAAACGACGGAACACATGTGTATAAGAGCATTTTATAAAGGTGATTTGTGATTCATACAATAAACCAATTATGATTGTGAACAACAGAACAAATATGTAACAGAACTAAATAACTTAGCTGAGGTTGTCAACACTAGAAACATAATAGTGTTTCTGAGATTTTGTACCAAGGGAAAAGAAAACGTTGAATTCAACAAACAAGTAATATTGAGCCTGGGCCTTTGATACCCAAAAGGTCACCGAAACCAAAAAAGCCTTTTAAGAAGAAGCGAAACTTCACGCATCCCACATCGGAAGACTCAAAGAGTTTGGTAAGTGAGAATTCAATATAAATAAGACTTCGTTCCCTCAAGTTAAAATCACGCAGCCATGTGGTGAGCACAAAGCGAACTATTCTTTCGCCTTTTACTAAAGAATACCGTGTGCTCTCCACGCTAAGTGGCATACGCCTATTTTTGGAGGGTTCTTACTTCACTGTGAGACCCAACATTAACTAGTTTGAAGAATTTATAGTTTTAAAAATTTGTTGTAATCTAAGACTTATCAAAAACCAGAAAAATTCTTAAAAATGAGTGTTTGTTCCAAAAATGCCATTATAAAATTTATTTTTTAGAAATACCATTAAAATACAAATTTTCTCAAAAATACCATAAAACTAAAAATTTTAACATTCAAAATTAATTTCTAAATCCTAAATACTAAACCATACCCTTAAAACTATACTCTATATATAAATAATCAACCCAAAAATAAAAAAATAATAGTTCTATATCTTAAAAATTCAACTTTTTATGTTTATGGTATTTTTGGAAAAATAAAAATTTGGTGGTATTTTTGGCAAAAAAAAAAAATCAATGGTGGTATTTCTAGAAAAAAAATTAAATCATGCTATCCAAAAAAATTTCTCGTTAAAAAGGTAACGGGGTAAATGTCTTTTAAATCACGAACTTTCTAACTTTAGCCATTTCAATCATAAATTTGTTATGTCGCCATTCAAAAAAAAAATTCTTGTTAACTTAGTTTTTAGAACATCATTTTTTGTTGACCAAGCCGAAATGAACATCATATACTCAAATCCGTTAACAGAAATGCTAGTCATCGTTAATCATATTTGTTAGTGAAAAACGACGTCGTTTAATACTAAAAAGATATCTCAAAATCGTAATTCTAACGTTATAATCCAAAATCAAATCTCTAATTTTTCACTTTGTTTTAGCCTTAAACGACGTATAGATAAATTAGTGATGGCTAATGTTTGTTAACTGTTTTGTTAATAAATTTTTGGATATGATGTTTATTTTGGCTTTTAACGAAAAATATTGTTTTAAAAACTAAGTGAACAAAATATTTATGTTTTGAATGGCTACGTAGAAAGTTTGTGATTTAAATGGTCAAAATTTGAAATTTATGATTTAAATGACATTGTATACTTTGAACATTTTTGGTGGCCATCTCTACTCAGTATTTCTCTTGAAATTATTTTTTGTTGAGGTTTTTGTTGTGATATGCGACGAACATAAAAACAAGTAATCACTAACTACTACACCAGCCAAAGTCATAGATATGTTTCTGTCATCGAAAGATTTTAGTCGGTGTGAAGCAAAATGAAAGAAAGATCTATACAGTCGACGGTTGAACCATGTAGACTATGAAACCTTAAACCACAAGAATCTCACACAGATATACAAAAGTACACTTTGACCTGAACAAACTCACTCTTTCTTTTTACTTTTATCTTTTGTTTCTGCTTCATCATATATCCACGAAGTTAAGATCAACGGGATCCCAACGCAGAACGCTTCTATAGCGAGTCCACGAGTAAACCCCGAGAAATTATCCGCTGTTACACCAACAAATGATGCAAGAACGATTCCAAGATATCCGCTAACTATGAATGCGAGTGCAATGGCTGACATGACAAATGCCATGAGAGACCCTTCACATCCAGGAGGACAGAGTTGGGCCATCAAGACGGTAAAAGGCAGAATCTTGAAGTAAAAAAGCGTTTCCAAGAATCCAGAAAAGAATAGTACATATACAGAGTCCGGCACTCCCAAGTCTCGGTATACGCCTTCCACGAACAAGAGATCAGATATGACAAAGAAAGCTATTGTTACCTGAATGGCTGTGATTAGTTTCCTAGGCCGGATAGATTTTAGCCAACGATTGTATGCAACACCCCATAAGAGCATTGCGATTTGACCAAACACCTTGGAGATCCCTAGAAGCGATGCATCGATTTTCAAAAACTTAGTTTGGTAAAAGAACATAGTCCCGGTCAGAACAGGAACTACAGCAGTTGATAAGGCAATCCAAGCTATAGAATAAGAAATCTCCGGCTTCCTCAACACGTGCGAAAGGTCAGAGATATGTTTCCTGATACCAGCTGGTGATGAATTTACCGGAAGATCAAGAGACCTTTCTCGGATATTTATAGTTACCAAGAACTGAAGAAGAGCCAAAATCCCAAACACGAGGAACGTTGACTGCGCGGAAAACATTTTGATAGCAATACCACCTAAAAGGTTTCCCAAGATTCCACCAAGAGAAGAAGCCATCCAAACAAACGAAGGTAGCTCACCGGATTCCGCCCCCGAGCTTTTTCGCTTTCCGGCCTCAGCAACAATAGCATCATTTGCTACTTCTACTAACGAAGCACCGAGATTACTAAGGAGAAGATACACCGACAAAGCTAAGATTGATACATTGGATCTTGACAAGAAAGCTATAGCTAACCATGAGATTGCTTGTAACAAGGCTGCAACATAAACCTTACAGTTAGAATAACATTCTAAAATAATACTTAACTAACACTTAACACAAGAATCAAATAGTCCAAAATCATAAAAACAAAAAATATATATAACAAGTTCAATACAAAGTACGAGTAGAGTCTTTAAATTAGCAAAACCATAATTGAAATTAAATGTTTTAATTGTATATAACAATTCAGATTGTTCCTTATTAACAATATAGTTCAAAATATTAAATCAACAAATCAACTCTATATAATAAAACTATAATTTCACAATTCCAAAAGAAGAACAATGTAGAGAATTCAAGATCATCATACCTCCTATAGCGATGTATGGGATTCGATGTTGACCAAAGAAGTAGACTGCGTCTGAAACGACGCCGTAGATAGGTTTAGCTACCATAGGAAGATTGGCTGAGTTCTGGAGAAGTTGTAGTACTGAAGGATTCACACGAAGCTCATCTGTGAGGAAGAAATTAGCTCCAAGCCATGCGAAACCTCTGAATCCTTGTACGAAGAAACCAAAACCTAGTAACCACCGGATCGGGTTACTGCGACCATGGGATTCTCCGACATGATGATCGCTGCTCATTGTCTCCATTTTTTTTAATTTTTTTTTTGTGTCGAAGATATTTTGGAAAGATCTCGAAGAGTCGACATTCGACAAGGATGTTGTGTACGTGTATCTGTGACATCGCCGACATAATAAGCAAGGACTTGATTCTTGTAAGAATTTGTCCAATTGTCGTAATATACACTTTTTAAAAATAATTTTTAATTCACCTTGTTTATTTCTGGTTCGGTTAAGGTTGGGATGTAATTAGCCCTTGGCATATGGGTATTCGTGTCGGTTCTGGGTAGGAACCAATCGGTTCCGGATCTTTTGAGTATAAGAAATTTTTAACCATTTAAGATCCAAGAAGTTTTGGTTCTGATATCGGTTCGATCCTCTCGGTTATTGATCGGTTCGGTTCTACATTTTTGGAACCGTATTATATCTAAAATATTTATATATCCATTTGATTCGGGTAAAATAGACCCGTTTGTATCCGAAATGTAGCAAAATACCCAAAAATAAAAACAAATAGATGGTAAAAATAGATTAGGTTTACTCTAGATCCGGGTAAACGGGTACCCATTCGGTTCTTGGGTAATACTTGGATTCGACCTGATATCCACGGGTAGAGAAGAACAATATCCATCGGTTATTTAGGCAACAACCGAATTCGAACCGAACGGATTATTTTCGGGTCGGTTCTGGTTTTTCTGCCCAGGGCTAGATATAATAATAGGCTTAATTTGTGGTTGGGATAGTTTTTTCGCATTATTCTCATGTTCGTACTCCATATATTACGAACACTATAAAATAGAATACGTATATATATATATATATATATATATAAAGTTAGTTTTTTCTCTCTTCTCATGATGCCACCTAAGCATCCACCTAAAACATTAATTTAGTGCATATTTATGTTACTTATTTAATTAATAGAAAGTTTATATAAATAAAAATAAATTATGTAAAAAATGAAATATTAAAATAAGAAAAACAATACTTTAAATTTTTTATTAGTGGTAATAATATAATTCAAATTTCATTTTAAATTGATCATAATTTAATATTTTAAATATATTACTGAGTTTTAGAAAAGAAGTAAAATTTAAATTTATGGTAGACTAAAACAACATTTATGTAATTGTATATATATAATTATAAAGAGGAAAAATAAAATGAAAGTGAAATATTAGTTTATAACATGATCAAAAAGAAAAAAAATGATATTTTATAAATTGAATCAAATGCTTTTAATCCAAATTTGAGTATTGAAAGATAATAATGAAAGAGAAAATAATTATAATATTTTTTGAAAATTAATTAAAAAAATAATAAAATATCACAATATGAATAACAAATCAACGAAACAAAATTATAAACCTCCCGCGCGGAGCGCGGGTCAACTGCTAGTAAGATATATAATGTTGGTTACAAATTATAAAATATAGCAAAATTTTTCTTATTAGATTGGAAAAAGAATTTTTAAGATGAAAATTTTAGTGTAACAACTTTTTGGCTTACAAAATTGTAATAAAATCAAAATCTAAAAATTTTGGGGTGGAAAAAAAGAAAGAAAACTACTAATAATTCCACTCTCACAACCACTAATAATTCCACTCTCTCACCCACCCTATCTCACAACCACTAATGATCTCTTTTCCCCAATTTCAAATAGTAAACAGTTCAAATTCCCCATTTCTTTTCAAAAACGATCCAAACCTCCCATTCACCAATAATAATAATTTCTTTTCAAAAACTGACCAAACCTCCAATTCACCTATAAGAATAATGTACACACTGTACATGTAGAGACACTTTAAGGAAATAGGATACTTCATCTCTTGTTATGTCACAGTTCACAGTATCCCTTACTTTCTTAATTTTGTATTTTGTTCTAAAGTCTTGATCTTGCTTCCCCTCGATGAAATCTCTCTCACTGACTCAAAACACTCTTTTATTAAACCTCTACTTGTTCCCGGTGTTACAAGACCTTTTGGAATTTAAGGACTTCAACTGATTCAAAGGGATTCAAAAAACTTTTTGAGTACCAATACAACCAAACTGACTAAGGTTCCTAAGAAGATCAATGAACTTTTACGAGAACCCAAACACATTGAGGAACCAGAACCAAAACTAAAACTAATAGAACTGGTGCAAGGATAGTGTATTCTTTACTATTTTATTTCCCCCCAACACCATAAAAGGATGAATTCAATTGAAGAGTAAGAAACCCACTACTATCTGAAGCCAAACATTAGACTTCAACCAAAACTCGGCAATACATACCAAAGGCGTGAACCGCAGCTATCACAGCAGGTACTTCTCAACAACTGTCCGGCCAAACTTCTCCTGAACATCCTTTGGCGTTTCGACCTGACAAAAACAGAAGGAGATTATAAGTTTTTCTCTCACTAAAATACCTTTTATTGACCTTTTGTCATCAGCTCAGAACACTCACCGCATTCAAGGCCTTCAAAACGGCCTTAACTGTGTTGTATGAATTCCTTGAACCAATCACCTGAAATTCGGACCACAACCATGGTTTAACTCAGCCGGTAAACAAGATCCATGTTAACTAAGGAGGAAGCAAAATTGCACCTTTGATTTGATGTTTTTGAACCCTGCTAGGAGCAAGATTGTTTTGACAACTCTCCCAGCTTTCATTCCCGTCGTTGTTGGTGCAGGCCATAGATATAACTAGTTGCAGATTCAATTGTATTAAGGACATATCTATACAAAACAGTGGGGTCAATAAATCATATTGTCAGAAGGGAACTCAAATAGATACCTTGGTTTTCTTGTAAGAAGTCTGTATTGCGTGTGCAATAGTGTGCTCTTCATGCCGCTCTACGTAATGAAGATTCTGGAAGCATTTCTCATATGCCTGTTTTGCAGTTATTGCAATTAGACCATGAGAGCTAACTAAAGTAATCATAAACAAGACTGAAATACTAACAAATTTTGAATTTAAGTCCTTTGACCAGTACACGAATCAAATCTATACAGAAATATAGACATTCATGCACAAACAGCTTTCTCAACCAACTTAAAGATGAATAAAAGATTTTCAATAGTGACGTGTATTTGGAGAACGGCAGGTAGCTGAATTAAAGCCTTATTGCACAAAAGAACATCAAAGATTTACAAAAGCTGTTGTTCAGACTTCTATGCCAATAAAAGCTGAACTCTAAGTGGCCTACAGTAGTTGCAAATTTAAATCAGTTTACCTAAAATTCAAGCTTATAGAACGTCTTATGTGCTCAATGCTTAGCATTGCAAACAAATCAAATTAGCTTCCTATTGGATCATAATCAGTTAGGTGCCTATCTTTGCTAAAATAAGATCCTTCCATAAGTCACAAATGCACGTAGTGACCTGTAATAGTTATCTTTTAAGATATGTTTCCTCCATCAAAACTAAAATAACAACTGGAAATGTGAGAGTACCTTTTGCATAGCAGACTGGCCAGTCTCAGCTTTTGCTTTTGCATACCCGATGATACCTTCGTAGTTTCCGCAAACCATCAATGCAGTGTACCTTTCAACCCTGCCACCCTAAAATACAAGTTTTTTTTTATATAGCCACACAATTGAATTTAAAGATACAAAAGAGAAAATGTTAGAATACTATACCTTTGTGACCTTAGCAACTTTTTTTACATCTATCACATGCACATCATATCCCTGGAAAACATAAGAAGAAACCTGATTAGCATTGAGAATAACAAGAAAAGTGTGCTAATAATTACAGTAATACATTGGGAGAAAAGATGTATGGGAATTTCCACCATGGTCCAAGAAAAGAAAACTTCATAACATACTAGACCAATTGTATCATAAAACTTACCTTATAAGCAAAATTACAACTCATGAAGCTATTACGCTACTGGCCTTCTTAAATACTCATGTGTGTTTGACAACATCAAAGTATATTGAACCACAATACTGCCAAATTTCTGTTATAATCTAAGAGAATGTATGGTTATAGCAGCATGGAAAAATGCATAAATCTTTTAATATAGATATGCCGCACTGTACTAGCACAAAAAGCATTTAGAGGCAACACCAAGCATGAATTTTTTGGCTATACGATTCTTTAAAAGAGCATCGCACTATAGCTACAACGGCTTCCACAAAATTTTCTATATCAAGGTGTCCACTCCAGCAAGCTCTATTGCTAAGCAAGCCTAACATATCAAGTTTACTTCCTGAAAAGTATCTAAAGTTTCAGGAAGCAAATATGTTCCACTGAACATCTAGTATATTTTAAAAACTTTCGGACACTTATAACTTATCAACACAGATCATCCAGAACGTATGTCAACTAATCTCACTATATTAATATAGTTTGGATTTTTAGTTAATGCTCAGTAAAAGAATTGCATAGCTGAGAGTTGTGAATAAATTGAGAATGCACTCACTTTTCTGTATAAAGGTTGTCTTTTCTTCTCTGTCAAAGCATTTCTGTCTTCAGCCAGTTCTCTAATCTCCTCTTCCAACCGTTTCCCCTTCTTTCCAAATGTATGATCAAGCTCAGAAAGCTTCTGTTCAAGTTTCTTGTCGATTGCATTCAGCTTCTCCAACAGAATATCATCCCTTTCTTTCATGTCATCAAACTCCTCTTCATCATCATCACCATCATTTTCATCCTTAGACCCATCAACTACAAGACGCTCTTCTCTTTCTTCACCACCACCTTGAACATTATCACGTTCAATAACTCCATAATTTGCAGGGTTGTTTGGATCAAAAGCCTCTTTCCACTCAACCAACCTCATAGCTCTATTCAGTTTCTGCTGGAGAACAAACTTCTCTTTCCCTTCAGCCACCTTCAAACGGTTCATCAGCTCACCAATAACCCTGTACTCAGGTCTAAGTTTGAAATGTTTCTCCTCAAATTTGTCTAATTTGGTCATCCACTTAAACGCCTCATCAACAGTCTCTGCCAAACAATCATCCAATCTTATAAGGAATCACAAACAACCATAAACCAATCCTAAGCCATAAAAATGAAATTGCCATATATACCTGACTTGGTAAGGGTCTGAAGAAGCTCCTTATGCCTTTGAAACTTCTTATTAAAAATATCTTCTTTCTTCCTTTCT